ATATATATATATATATATATATATATATATATATATAAGTGTAATTGTTCATGTTTTTATAAAACCAGGACTATAAAACTACAAAAATTGTTTTCAGCCTTCGAAGAGTTAAAATAAGTAAAATAACTTCTTTATTATCACATTTATTGTTAGGGGACAAATATTTAAAAGTTAAATGTTTAATTCTAAACAGGCTCAAAAATCAAACTGGCTATTGTTTAAAATGTAAAAAATATTAATATAAAATATAGAAGAACTCATTTTTACATGAGGTCTTTGAAGTATCACAGGTCTGTGATCCAGTCATGTCTGACAGGAAATGATTTGATCAAGTTTGATCGTGTTTGATCAAGTTTGATCGTTGTTTATAACTGAATTCAATTGAAAATGATTTTATTAATCCTGAAGGGAAATGAAATGTTGTGGTCTCTCATCCTGGTTCGATGCTCCCCGTGGTTGAAAATAATCATCAATGATGAGAAATAACAGCTTCAAATGCTTCACATGAATCTATTTATTAAATTAGCTTCATTTTCTGATACGAATGACAAAACAGAACTTTTTCACAATATTTAAGTTTGTTAGTGGTCTCACGTGAACAGCTGCATAATTACGTGAATATTGTGTAGGTCCAGTCAGATTTGTGCTTCTTGTGCGCTTTGGGTTATTTAGACCAAATGTAGGAAACAACAAAGTCCAGCATTTAACTAAAAACATTGAAATAAACTTAAATGAGCTTAACTTTAATTTATGACTCCATAACCATTTTATTGATTATTTTATTTAAGCCCACAATGAAAACTCCACTTTATATGTTGTGATATTAAAGGTTCATGTCGTCTGCCTCGTCATGAAACACTTGCACATGAGTTGAGTGTGGTGGCGGACGGCGTGGCCGGGCCTCACACACACACCTGGTTTCAAACTAGCGGACTCACCGTTCGGGCCATGGGCGGAGACAGAGAGCACGTGTTCATGTACGAGTCGCTGCTCATGTTGCTCATCATGATGTAGCTCGGGTAGCTCGGGTACGGGTGGCCTTTACCGTACAGGTCTGGATGTTTCACTGTGAGGAGGAGGAGGAGGGGCAGGGGGAGGAGCAGGAGCAGGAGGAGGAGGAGTCAGGTTTGAACAAACACAAGCAGCAGCATCCAAACTGTCACAATAAAACTGAGCTTTAAACACCACCTGGGAGTAAAGATGTAAATGTAGTGGTGAACAAAACCAAGCAGAAACTTGTGTCGTCACAAACTGAACCTGTTTCATCTGAAATTAAATCCACTGTTTGAAAATGAATTTCAATAAACTGAAACTATTTCATTGTGACGAACAGTCGGTTTGACTACTTTCATTTTCAGTTCTATAATTCTAGTTACATTCCAAAATTCTGTTTTTTGTGTCACATCCGGGTCCTTGAGGAGGTCCCGGAGTAGTCCAACGCAGATTGACAGATTGACGTTTCACATGAGTGAAACTTCCTTCATGGAAATGTAGGCGTGGGACCAGCCTGAAGGAGGCGCTGATGCCACAGAGCGGATACAATCCACCGCAAAACACCAACGAAGAAGAACAACTTCCTTTACGACGTATTTTGAGCAGGAGCAGTGGCGCCACGTGACCTTGGTGTCACGTGACCTTGGTGCCACGTGACCTTGGTGCCACGTGACCTTGGTG